GGGTGCCCCATCGGGTTTCGGGTTTTCCTGTCGAGTTTCGGGTATCTTATCGGGTTTATAACAATTCATAACGAAATCTTTATTTTGTTTTAGGATACCCTGATATATTATAAAAAAATATATGTTCTAGCATCATTTTTAAATTAAAAATATGATGCATCACTTTAATAAAATAAACTGAATGTTATATTAATAATCATTTTATTTAAGTTTAGTGTAATACGACAAAACATAAAAAAAACGATCATTCACGCAAGATTTTTAATAACTAAAAAGATTGTCCACAGTAAATATTTTATCTTTGAATGCGTGCACCTAACATCAAAAGGATTTGAATATATATATGATCGGGGCGGGGCGGGGCAGAGCGAGGGCAACCCACTCCCTGCCCCGAACCCGATAAAGACCCGTTACCCGACCCGAAATGGTCAGGTTTCGGGTTTCCCCGTCGGGTTTGGGTTTTTTTGCCATCCCTATTCGGAACATATGAAAGATGGAACATATCGACAAAAAACGGACTTTCAGGTATCTTAATTAGTGAAATGGAATAAAAATGTTCATTGTTTTATTTGATAAAACAAAAAAGAGCATGCAAATTTTGACACAAGGTATAAATGGTAGGGTTAAACAGGAGATCCAAGAAAATTGAAAGGGGGAAAAGAGCCAAACCTTATCTCGTGTGTGTTTCTCCTTTTTATGATCTTCCTTTTGTTATTTTCCCTCCATATGGATATGGTTTTGGCGCGAACTTTCAGGTTATATCTTTTGGTTATTATTATGTATTTAAAAGAGTAAATTACATGAATGGTCCCTATGGTATTGAGTAATTTGCATGTTTGGTTTTTAACTTATTTTTTTAACTCGGAGGTTCCTGCTGTTTGTTTTTGTTACACGCTTGGTCCCTACAGTTTGTTTTTGTTACGTGTTTGGTCCCTATCTTACCTAAAAAAAACTATTATTTAAATAGGGAAAAATGATAAGGTAGGTAAAGTAAGGTGAATGGGTAGGATTGAGGATGTGTTTATTTAAAAAAATTACAAAATCAAGGACAAGATAGTCTTTTTATGTAAGAAAAGGACCAAACGTGTAACAAAAACAAACAATAGTGACCTTCCGAGTTTAAAAATTAAATTAGGGACCAAACGTGCAAATTACCCTAAACCATAGGGACCATTCGTGTAATTTACTCTATTTAAAATAATTAGATTACTTAATAAATTAATTTAGAGTGAAATTAAAATGGAATGTTATTTTATAAAATATGTTAAAGACAGACACAGAAGTAAACAATATATATATATATATATATATATATATATATATATATATATATATATATATATATATATATATATATATATAAAGGTTCAAATGAGAACAAAAAAATGTTAAAAATCGTAAGAACCTCTAATTTTATATGTTGTAAAGGGTTTAAGTTTAGGGTTTAGGGTTTAGGGTGTTTATAAAGGGTTTAGGGTTTAGGGTAACCCTAAACCCTTAATAAACATCTAAAGTTAGAGGTTCTTACGGTTTTTAACATTTTTTGGTTCTCATTTGAACCACTCCTATATATATATATATATATATATATATATATATATATATATATATATATATATATATATATATATATATATATATATATGGAGTGATTTAAATAAGAACCAAAAAAGGTTAAGAACCGTAAGAACCTCTAATTTTAGATATTTATCAAGAGTGTATATATATATATATATATATATATATATATATATATATATATATATATATATATATATATATATATATATATATATATATATATAGCGGTGAGCAAAAAACGCACCGCATAAACCGCAACCGCAATAAAAACCGACGGTAATGTTTTCTGGTTTTCCAAAACCGCAAATTTGCGGTGCGGTGCGGTTATTAGTTTTCAAAAACCACAAAAAAACCGCACCGCACCGAATCTATTGTATATAATTTTTTTATTAATTATTAATATATGAAATATTAAAAATAAAACAAATTTCATGAATGAAAGACGAATAAAATACTAGAAGGCAAAAATATGGTTTTTTTATTATGTTTAACTTTGAAAAATTGTGAAAATAGACAATTTTAAGAAATTTATTATTAATTACTATTCAGTTATTTAACGTTTTTAAGATATTAATTGTTTGTAATTTAAGTTAATTGTCTTATACATTATGTTTTTTTTTAATTATTACAAGTAATATGTTTGAACTCTTAAAACCGTTTGAGCTCTAAACTATGGTTAAAAATCACACAAAATAACCGTACAAAATCTCCATGCGGTTAATAACCACAACACAGAAAAAACAAAACCGCATCGCAAAAATAACTGCACCAAGCGGTTTTGAAAATGGATTAACCGCATTTGCAGTTAGTGGTGAGGTTTTGGTTAATAACCGCACCGAACCGTACCGCGCTCACCCCTATATAAATACAAAAAGTAATTAAAAAAAAAGCATACTTAAATTTGTTATGTGAATACAAACTTGAAATTGTAGAAGACCGTGGCCTGTAAGTAGCGTCCTAAGACACTATATTTAAAGTATAGATTTGTCTTGTGATACAACAATTAATTGAAGGAGTGGTCTTGAATCTTTCCAAAATTTATATGTTCCCTTCTTTAGAAAACTAATTTTCAAGAGTTTTTTTTTTTTTTGTTTGTTTTTGTTTTTGTTGTTGTTGTTGTTGTTGTTGTGACTCTTCAAATGACGTTAAACATGTATTTATAGGTAGTGATTATGACAATTGAAAATTATCAAGAACCGAAAATAACTACCATAATACCTGTCAATTTAATAATTATGAATTTAATAAAAATAAAAATTAATTCGTAATTAAAAAATATTTAATTATTCAGGAAGACCCCAAGACTTATTTTTTGACCATTAAATATTCCCTTCATATTAACCTAATTTGAGTCCAATTAGACTAATCTAACACCATAAACCAAATCCATCAATCTTAGCTATTTATCTATATTAATAAACTAATGAAGCTTTTTCTTATTTCCAACGTAGAACAAGTCTCACAAACTAAATTAATAAACAAAATTCCAAAGGTTTATACCCTCCAATCCTCCGTCACATAAAAAAATCAAAGACACATTTATCCACTGAACACACCAAATAATTGAAGATATATATAGAACTCAACGACTACGTCAATCATTTTGTTCTATAAGTTCAATTATTGGTTTTTCATGCCCCGTATAAAAAAATGATAATAATGCCTTTTTATGTGTAATCTCACATATAACATAAATCTATGAAAAAAAAAAAAACACAACTCATTTTTATTCACAATAAAATTATATCCATACAAACTAAAGGTTGCATAGATCAATTAACCTATCACAGGTTACATTTGCTAAAAATTGTTTTCAATACTAAAAGTATAATTTTTCTTGAGTCAAGTCCGTGAATACGACTTCAAACAACTTTAAAATTGAAAAAAAAAAACTTTCTGCAACTTAATGTCTTCGATAATTAACACAAATATTATATATACAATAATATACAAGCTAAAAAAAATAGATAAAATTCGAAATAAGTGATAATAGTTGGAACTTTCTAAAAGAAATAATCTAAAAATAACAGCAAAACAAATATTAATTTGAGTAGTGATTGATACATTTAACTCAAAAAGTAAAAAAAAAAAAAAAGTCATACATAATTGGTTAATACTGTTAGCAAAGACCTATATAAAAAACCAAACAAAATAAGCCTAATATCCGTCGTAAGACTCAGACTTGCAGACTTAAAAAGCCAAAATAAATAACCATTTTATTCCTAGTAATAAATACCCATTATATATATATATATATATATATATATATATATATATATATATATATATATATATATATATATATATATATATATATATATATATATATATATATAATACTAAAGAGAAAACTCATGGACAATACTCATTAGACATCTCTGTGGGGTCTAAGTTTGTCAATGTTTTAAAACCCGGGTCGATCCGGCCGGTTGAACCGGTTGAACCGTGATCCGGGATAGAAGACGGGTTAATCGAGACCGGGTTTTTGTAAAAATACCGACCGGATCGAACCGGCCGGGTTTACCATGAACCGCGGTTGAACCGGGTATTGTGAACCGGTAAAAACCGGGTTGGACCGTTTATTAGGGTTTGCTTAATTATTTGACTATCTTGTATCGCTCCAGCCTCCAGGCCACAAAATAGACTTCCGTTCTTCGTTCTTCTCTGGGAAACGAAAGCAGCACGTCGCAAACGAAAGCAACAAGTCGCCTCCATTCTCCGGCGACTTCATTCTCTGTCAACTTCATTCTCCGGCGACTTGCATTCTTCTCCAGCCGCCTCCATGTGAGTTTCCGATTCCTTTCTTTTCTTTTTTCTTTTTGCTGCTAAATCGACTTCCGATTTCCTTTCTTTTCTTTTTTCTTTTTTTTTTGCTGCTACATCGACTGGTGTTTCAGAAGTGCCTTGATTAGTTGGTTGTTCCTTCTCCACCTAAACCCAATGCAGTGATGACCGTCGACCTCAATAGCAACTGCAATGCAGTGACTTTTTTTTTTGATTAGCTGTAGAAACTTCCGCTCTTTTGATTAGCTATTATGAAGTTAGTTTTCTTTTGGCTGTGAAAGACTGAAATCAATTGACTGTGAAATCAGTTGCTAGATTTGTTTTATTTTCTTCTCTAATTTTCTTTTCTTCTCTAATTGACTTTGAAATCAGGTGAACTTACAGTTCATTTATTGTTAATTATCAATTACAGGTGATAGATTTTGTTAGTTTATTTATTCTTAATTATCAATTACATGTGAAATCAATTACAGTTCATATATTGTTAATTATCATTGTTTCAAGATTTTGTGACAAATTTGGTTATTTACATTTCATTTATTGTTAATTGGTCATTGTTTCAAGGTTTTGATTATGTAGATTATGAAATTAGGATCCAATTGACATATGTTTATTGATTATAAAATTACTTTTCAATGCAGTTAGATATGGAATCAAGGGAAGAACAACCATCGCAAGCACAATCTCAAGCTCAATCCCATTCTTCGGTTCAATCAAATGTACGAACAAAGATGGATATAGCATGGGAACATGTTACTCAAGTCGTTGATGAGAAGGGGAAAAAGGCATGGATATGTAACTTTTGTCAAAAAGTTATAGGTGGTGGTGGAATAAACAGGGTTAAGAAACATCTTGCTGGTATTAAAGGTGAGGTAGTAGCATGCCCAAAAGTTAGTCTAGAAGTGCGGTTTACAATGCAAGGAAAGTTGAAAGAGACTGCCCAAAAAGAAAAAGAAAAACGCACCACTAGTGTTACTATCTTGGATGATGATGAAGAGATGGAGGAAATAAAAATGTCAACTGCGAAAAAGGGTAAAAGGAAATCTACTTCAAACTTGCAACCATTTTTTACAAAAGGTATAAATGATCCTTCCCAACCCACTATTAAATCTGCAATGCAAAGTAAGGCAAAAATACATGATGTGGATTTAGCTATTACTATGTGGTTTTATGATGCATGTATACCTATGAATGCTTGCAACTCTCCTTTTTTTCAACTTATGGTAGATAAAATAGCAAGTATTGGTTATGGGTACAAAGCACCTAATTATCATGCTCTGAGAGTTAATTTATTGACAGATGCAAAAAAGTCAGTTTCATTGATAATTGATTCGTTAAGAAGTCAATGGGTTGATACAGGTTGCACAATTATAAGTGATGCTGAAGGTACCTTTGGTAGATCTGGTGCCATTGCTTCTCGTAATCTTACTCGTCCAGGTATGATTTAAACTTAATGTGTCATTATTATATATAAAATATTGTATTTTCTAATATATTTTTTTGCTGACTATATCATTTGTAGATGAGTGGTGGAAGTTATTTGGCGGAGATATTTCGGTTTTGAAAAAGTTTGCTATTAGAATATTAAGTCAAACGGCATCTTCTTCCGGTTGCGAACGTAACTGGAGTGTATTTGAAAGGATTCACACGAAATGGAGGAATAGATTGGAACATCAAAGGCTAAATGATCTTGTATTTGTTCATTACAACTTGCGTTTACAAAATAGGTATGGTAACTTGCTAAGATATACTATGCTATAAAATGACCAAGTTATATTTGAGATTTTTTTTGAATGTTTTTGTAGATTGAAGGTTGATATGAGGTCTTACGATCCTGTTGACTATGAAAATATTGATAAGACGAGATTTTGGGTGGTTGAAGAAGAGCGGGAAGGAGAACTTAATTATGATGATTTGGAAAATATGCTTGATGAGCAAGAGCATGAACCGGATTCTGAATCACAAGGTGACCATGTTGATCATGAAGTTGATAGTGAATTTCAGTTACTAAGTGACCGCGAGATCAATGCTTATAATACTCCAATTTCTCAAGATCCATGATTTGGTTTGGTCGTAACGTGTTTGGATTTGTCTACAACTATGTTTTCTTTTGTTATTTATACTTTATGTTGTTGTTTGTTGTGTTAAGATTGATCTATAACATGTTATTAATACTCTATGTGGTTGTTTGTTGTGTTAAGATTGTTTTTTCTGTTTAGATTAAACTTTGTTGACATCAAATTATTGGTATTAAACTTTGTTAAGATTGTTTTTTCTGTTTAGATTAAACTTTATTGCTACTTATGTGAGCAAGTGCCTCACTTGCGCCAAGGTCAAGTTGGAATATCAGAAGCCATCAGGACTACTTCAACAACCGGATATACCCAAGTGGAAGTGGGAGCGAATAACCATGGACTTCATAACCAAACTGCCTAAGACATCAGGTGGGATGGATACCATATGGGTGGTTGTGGACAGATTGACCAAGTCCGCGCACTTCCTGCCAATAAAGGAAACAGACAAGATGGAGAAGTTAACCAGGTCGTACATTAAAGAGATCGTGCGACTACATGGTGTACCAACATCCATTATCTCCGATCGAGATAGTAGATTCACCTCGCGTTTCTGGCAGTCCCTACAGAAGTCTCTGGGAACCAGGCTAGACATGAGTACGGCCTACCATCCACAAACTGACGGACAAAGCGAGAGAACCATCCAGACATTGGAAGACATGCTGAGAGCCTGTGTGATAGATTTTGGTAAGGCATGGGATACCCATCTACCGCTTATCGAATTCTCTTATAATAACAACTATCACACTAGCATTGGAGTCGCTCCATTAGAAGCTCTCTACGGTCGCAAGTGTAGATCACCACTGTGTTGGACCGAAGTTGGAGATACTCAGCTAGCCAGAGGGCAAGTCCCTGATAGCACCCTTACTGGGCCTGAAATCATAAGGGAAACCACAGAAAAGATCATTCAAATTTGGGAAAGACTAAAAGCGTCTCGTGATCGACAAAAGAGTTACGCGGATAAGCGACGCAAACCTTTAGAATTCCAGGTCGGAGACCGGGTCCTACTAAAAGTTTCCCCCTGGAAGGGGATGATACGTTTCGGTAAACGACGGAAACTAAACCCAAGGTACATCGGTCCGTTCGAAATCCTTGCTAGGATTGGTCCTGTGGCGTACAAACTCCGACTACCACAAGAACTTAGTAATGTACACCCTACCTTCCACGCATCCAACTTAAAGAAGTGTCTGTCTGACGAGACACTCGTAATACCACTCGAAGAAATCGAAGTTAATGAAAATCTCCACTTTGTGGAGGAACCCATCGAGATCATGGATCGAGAGATCAAGAGAACAAAACAAAGTCGCATTCCCATAGTGAAGGTTCGTTGGAACGCGAAACGAGGGCCTGAGTTTACCTGGGAACATGAAGATCAAATGAAGCAAAAGTATCCACATCTTTTCCCAAACCTTTGAAGTTCCCAGCCGAATTTAAATTTCGGGACGAAATTCCCTCTAACGGGGGGATGATGTGACAATCGTCAATCTTGAGTCAAGTCAAGTCATCAGGTCAAGCCGGTCAACTCGATTAAACCTTGTGTATTAGGGTTTATGTTATGTTCGTACTGTATAACTTGCTATATTAATGGGAAAACATCACTTGAGAAAAGTCTCGTGTTAAAAATTTCCTAAGCCCTAGTGCTAATCAATGAACTAAACTGATAAAAACCATGTTGCATACTCATTGGGAGTGTGTGGGATCCTTAACCATGACTTAACGGGGCTCAAGAGACTTGCATTGCGGAGCCAAACACTCACAAATGCCACACTTGAAATCTCTCTCAAATATCTCTCTGTATGAGAAATCTCTCAAAGAATGTCAAATCTCTCCCAAATCTCTCCAAGTATGTGAAATCTCTCTCAAATATCTCTTTGTATGAGAAATCTCTCCAAGAATGTCAAATCTCTCCCAAATCTCTCCAAGTATGCGAAATCTCTCTCAAATATCTCTTTGTATGAGAAATCTCTCCAAGAATGTCAAATCTCTCCCAAATCTCTCCAAGTATGAGAAATCTCTCCCAAATCTCCCTCAAATAGTTCCCGTAACTTTTTAGAATCATTCGGGTCATTCCGGCCCTTAACGGGTCAAAAACGGCTTAAAACGGGGCGAAAACGAGAAAAATAGGCTTTAGGAACCGAAACCAAGAAGAGAGGCTTCTTAGGCGAGGACCGAGCCTCTGTTGGCTGTGGCATGCGAGGACCGAGCCTCTGTTGGCTAAAGAATGCGAGGACCGAGCCTCTGTGGCTGTGGCATGCGAGGACCGAGCCTCTGTTGGCTAAATGCACGCGAGGACCGAGCCTCGGTTCTCTGTCGCCTCATCTGCTCCCTTCTTCTCGCTCTGTCTCTACCCGCTCTCTGTCTCTTCCCTACTCTCGGTCTCTACTCCGCCCCTCTGTCTCTTCGCGCCCTCTGTTCTCTCCTCCCCCCTCTCGGTTCCTTCCCTCTCTCTTCTCCCCTCTCGGTTTCTACCCTCCCTCCTCTCGGTTTCAGCATCAGAAGGCCGAACCTCGGCCAGACTTCGGGAATTTGTCACTTTTAGCCCATTTTTGATATTTTTAACATTTTAAGCCCGTTTTTCGTGATTTTAAAGCGGGATTTTCTCCAGAAATTATATTTTAACATAATAAACTCTAAATATTCATAATTTAAACATATTTTTATGAAAATCATTATCTAAATAATAAAGATCTAATGGGGGATTTATTTAAGGTGGAGTGTTGACTTTGCCTTAACTTATGACACAAGCAACCACCCCACACCCACTCTATGACCAGCCATACCTCCCCACCTTACCTATGTCACTTCAATGTCCCCTTACACTCAAATTTCACTCACTCCACGTTTTTTTTTGAGCTGGAACAAACAACCACACTCCTCATTTTCTCTCATTTCTCTCATTCCACTAAGTAACAAACACCACTTTTCTCTCAAACTTTTTCTACACAAATTTGAGATTCAAGGCTGATTTCAAGTGTTCTTCCACTCTTAGTAAGTAAAAATTCATCCTCCCTATTATTATTTCACTTCCTTCTACTCAAATCTTTGATTGCTTACACAAACTCCATAACCATAATGTTAGATTCTCGAAAACCTTCAAGGCATCTCCAAGTGTTCTTGAATTAAACACTTCCATTCTTCAACAATCATCTACTGAAATCACTTAAGGTGAGTTCATACCCCTACATTTTCATGTTTTCTCAAGTTTTCAGGGGGGGAATACAAGTTAAAACACCAAGAACATAACTAAATTTTCTAACAGCCTTCATCAGAAAAGTTCAACTCCATTCACGGACTGTTTTGGGCATCTTAAACATTTTTGTTTTCAAAACTGTACAAGGTGCAAATAGTTCATGTTTGTAGCTTTAAAATGACTACTTGCACATCTCCATACGATTTTTCTACAATTTATGGTGATTTTTACAAAACTGCCTATCATTTCAAACAACAATCCGGACCAGTCTGTGATTATGGACTTTTTCACACAAGTTGAAGGTCATTAAAAATCGTGATAAAAATTATGAGTAAACTAGACACATTTTGTGAACTCTCAGAATTTACGGATCTAGTTTTCGACTTCGTATGATTTTTCTATGATTTTTCCAAAACAGGGCAGAATGGCTAAAGTTAGCCAACAGCATGTAAATATCATAACACTTTGTATTATGTTGAGCAAAGTGTATAATCATAAGTTCTAATATTTGAATGTGTTTCCTTGTTAGTTTATCATTATGAACTGAAACTAAGTCATTCATACTAAATATTATTCATTCATTTTGGAACACGTATTATTTAACTATAAAAAGTATAGTTTGATAAATTCACAACACTAATACATTTCCATAAAAGAATTCATACATATTACATACATTTTAGATAAACTATAATAGGTATAGTTTATGATACATCACTCAACACACTCGTACAAAAAGGGTACATTCATACAAGAAAGATTTATATTCACACACATTTCACGTAAACTTGTTAACCTATGTTGTGAGACTCTCTCTCTCCCCGTACGTCCGAGTGCGGGATATAATTCCTGGTAGTTATAATCAGAATCTCCTTGAGGGAGAACGTGATACTTGTATATAGATCTATATTGGGTTTGACACCCCACACCTTGCTGCTAGCTACAGTGGGACCTGCAGGTCTACGGGTGACAAATGTCATTTCATTTTCGCGACGCCTGAGAAACGTTGTGGCAGGTTCACATAGTCACAGTATGATTATAGCGACTCACCTAGGGAGTTAACAATTCATAAAGTTTACGGGATTTCATAAAACCGAAGTAGGTTTTAGGTTGATTAAAAATTTACTTTCCATATCATTTTAAACTCACGACATTTCTACTAAGTAATGATGATTTCTTATACATTTTGGTCTTTGGTTATAAGGCAACATTTTACGGATTTCAAGGAAAATATCGGATTTTTCTGAAACAAACGCGACATTTACATGTGAAAGAATTCTACTAAGATTATTAATAAAAGCTTATAAACTCACCAACCTTTGTGTTGACACTTTTCAAACAACTTGTATTCTCAAGAAAACACTAAACAGGTAATCAAGTGCTTTTGAGGATGGGACGTTAAGGCGTCAAACTTTTCATATTTTGACAACATATTGTAATTGATTTTGAAACATGTAATTCATACAAGTGATGTAACTTTTTCAATTATATATATGTTGGTTGTGTTTGCTTAAATTACTATTGAAATTGTAGTTATGATACTATACATGAAGTCCTCCACCCCCAGACGTTTCCGCCATCCTTGGTTTGGGGGTGTGACAAAATGCCATAAACCGGGTTGACCCGGCGGTTGAACCGGTTGACCCGTGAACCGGTCTTCACACCGGATCAACTAAAAACTCGGGTTTTAAAACATTGAAGTTTGTGTTAAAATTTCCCTAAAAATCTCCTTAGGGTTAAGTTTCCTTTATAAAGGAGCTCGAAGTCGAGACCCCTATTAAAATATTGTCGTGAGGCTT